AATATCGGATTTGGATCAGTCTCGTCTGACCGATACCCGATCTAGCAGAAAATGCCATTATCGGAGCCGATAACGATACTGAGTATCGGATTGATGCATCCCTAGTAGTAATGGCGCAATGGTTCAACATTAACTAGCTTAAGTGAACAATGTACAATCTAAATCCTATTCTTCATGAGTAGGCCTATTTGTCTAATTTTAGTTAAAATATGTTATGTTATATTGATTCTCAAGTAAATTTTTATTATTTTAAAGTGATAGTTCACACCAAATCATTTACCCTCATGTTATTCTAAATATGTATGACATTTTATTCTTCTGCATAACATAAACCAAGATATCCTGATGAATGTTTGGGGTGCAAACAAAATTGCACCCAACTGCATTCATTCAATGTATGGACAAAAAAAGATCTTTTGTGTTTCACAGAAAAAAATAAAGTCTGGTAAAACTAGATTGCGGGTTGTTAGTGAATAAGACAGAGGTGAAATACTGCACACTGCCTAAACAAATTTATTCCACCAGTTTTGAGAACCGAGCAGCATATTGGTTTACTAATAACAGAACAAGAAACGCTATAAATAATCTTTCATTGCGCAAAAGTATTATAATACGAAAAGCTCCAATACAGAGCGGCACAAAGCGCTTATTTGTCTCCCGTGCGCAGAATGATGCACTTGAAGCAACACGGAGTCACAGTGCGCAGCGCTACGCATAGAGAAATTCAAAGCACAAAGGAAAGAGATATTGATGCGTAGTTTATTAAATCTGTGCGATAGTTTATTGTGCCTTTTCTTTTAACAGTTTTACATTTCAGTTACTGTGCACTCTTGAAGAGAGTTTCATTGTTTTGACTGTCGTAACCGAACGTGACCCGCAGTGAGAATGCTGAATGGAGGATGACAGACAGCTGCAGTGGAGAGAAGAGTTTACTTCAACTTGAATTTAACGACTTAAATATTCATCTGTACCTCACATTAAACTATGGAACGGCTTCAGAACACTTGGACTTTGACTTTATGGTGCTTTATAATGTTTTTGTGCTTTCGTGAGGCTTAACAATAACAAAGAATAGTATACGCATAATATCGGATTTGGATCAGTCTCGTCTGACCGATACCCGATCTAGCAGAAAATGCCATTATCGGAGCCGATAACGATACTGAGTATCGGATTGATGCATCCCTAGTAGTAATGGCGCAATGGTTCAACATTAACTAGCTTAAGTGAACAATGTACAATCTAAATCCTATTCTTCATGAGTAGGCCTATTTGTCTAATTTTAGTTAAAATATGTTATGTTATATTGATTCTCAAGTAAATTTTTATTATTTTAAAGTGATAGTTCACTCCAAATCATTTACCCTCATGTTATTCTAAATATGTATGACATTTTATTCTTCTGCATAACATAAACCAAGATATCCTGATGAATGTTTGGGGTGCAAACAAAATTGCACCCAACTGCATTCATTCAATGTATGGACAAAAAAAGATCTTTTGTGTTTCACAGAAAAAAATAAAGTCTGGTAAAACTAGATTGCGGGTTGTTAGTGAATAAGACAGAGGTGAAATACTGCACACTGCCTAAACAAATTTATTCCACCAGTTTTGAGAACCGAGCAGCATATTGGTTTACTAATAATAAATATAAGAGGAACAGCATAAACTGTTCTAATTGTTTTTTTTTTTTTAGATGTGTGGTATCTAAAATAAAAAAAAAAAATCTGATTTATTTGGAATGTTAGTTTTGTTTACTTATGCCACTCATGGGCAGATCGGATTGATCCCTGCTTCTATTCTCTCTGAGCTTTTTGCTACTGTATGTATTGCAAGTAGCAGTCAAATTAATCACTGAAATCATGAACCCATGTCAAACATGTGACTTAGTATGAAATCATTCTGATTATAGCAAAAATAATCCTAACCACATAGTCAACAAACATCCTGACAGGCAACCTGCTAGCTCTCTGGATCTGCCTGGCATGCATGCACACAGATTTGTGGGTTTGTGGCATGATACGGAAATTTATTCCTGTACAAATGTCAAAAGACTGCCACGTTTCAATATTAGATCAAAATCAAAACATGATTAACTTAATAAGACAGGATGTTTTCCTGGCTGCAGCAAAAATCTCAAGGACTTCATAAAGATTTATTTGATGCTCTCGGTCAAATGGCCAGTGTTCGGTGTGCAGTCTCAGCTTCTGACATTCGAGGGTTGAAGCTATTTTAAGGAGACCCCAGTGCCTCTGGTAGGTCCACCACATGCCACTGTACAGCGGCTTCCATAGAGCTGAAGAATGGCTCCATTATTCCCCCACAAACACATATACTTTCACAGAGATCCACCCACTTCTGACCTGATCTCGCTGAAACCCACCACTATCGGAAATTCTCGTTTTGTGAAGGTGGGAACAAAACAGAACAGAATGAATCACTGAATAAGAGTGAAGGTTGAAAACAGACCTTTTTAAGAAGATTTTAATGAGTTTAATAATTAATCTTAAAGACTTTACCTTGTGAAAGGCTTTTATAATGCATGCAGCAATTAATTAGCCTTGGAATTATTCAATTATTTTATATAGACCGATTTTTCTCCCTTTGGTGAAGATTGTGTCCAATTACAAAACTAAATGATACATAATCTTTCACAATCATCAATCGTCACATGCCAGAGCAGATGCTAAGTTTTCATACAATCTTTTTGTAAATAAGACTTATAAAGTGCCTTTATCAGAGAGGATGTTAATTATCTACTTAAGCAAATATAAATAAATGTCAAAAGACCCGGTACTTCGGTACCAAGTCGGTACTAAAAAAATGAAAACGTTACGGTACCAGGATTTTGTAAGTACCGGTGGTACCGAGTACCCGGTCAACCCGGTTCTTGATGCGCTATCCGAAAGGTGCGCAGATGCGCTCTCTTCATAAAAGCGCTGAGACGTGGTGACATCAAAATGAGGACGCACACCAAACTAACAAAACACTTTAAAGACACCCAGATCAAATGAAAGAGTTCAAGCAGGTAAGTTTCATTTTAATTTTTAATATTTGTTCGGTTATGAATATTATTCAATATTTTAATTTGAATGTCAGATTGAAATGAACGCTGTTATTAGAGTAGTTAATCGTTAGCATAAGCGCGGCTAACGCTAATATAATGAGCATTAGAATGAAGTTTCTTTATTAACTATTTAATGCTCCTATAACTTTCATTAGGGTAAAAAAAAACAGGAGGACATGATGATATTTACTATTTTTACACACCAGAGGCTTTTAAATGAATTGTGAATCTAAAATATGCGTGTTAGAGATTGTACAAATGGTTAACATTGTTTGTGTCATATTAGTCAGAAAAGCAGTTCTGGGCTTTTTTTTTTTTTTTTAGCTAATTTTGTGTTTTGCTTTGGTACCGAAATTGGTACCGAGAACCGTGGATTTTCACTGGTATTGGTACCGAATACTGAAATTTTGGTACCATGACAACACTCTCTCTCTCGCTCTTTCTCTCTATATATATATATATACACACAGATACACACACATACACCACCGTTTAAAAGTTTGGAGTCAGTAAGATTTAATACTTTAATACTTCAGCAAATTTGCTGAAAAAATTTATCAAAAGTGACAGTAAAGAAGAAGAAGAAATAATTAGAATTACAATGATTTTATAAGGATCATATGACACCGAAGACTGGAGTAACAGCTGTTCAAATTATAAAAATATATAAAAATATTATTTTAAATTGTAATAATATTTTACAATATTACAGTTTTTACTGTATTTTTGATTAAATAAATGCTGCCTTGGTGGGCATGAGACTTCTTTTAAAAACAAACAAAAAAATCGTACTGATCCAAAAATGTTGAACGGCAATACATTTTGTCTGCAATAAATAAAATAATAAGTCTCTCAACTCAACTAGTAATAACCATATGGTAGCTTTGTAAAATCCTCTACAAAGCTTAAAAGAAAAAAACAAAACAAATTTGTTTATACATTCTGCCACTCACTCTGCCACCAAGTCAAACATGAACCCATCTACAAATATATAGCCTGCCCTGTGTGTTTATGCGAGTGTGTGCTTGTGTACACGTGTGGGTGAGCATCAGGAAATACCAGGCCAAGCATTCCAGCTCGTCAGCACCTCTGGACCTCATGTGACTGGAGACTGGACACAGCCCAGATTGTGTGTGCAAGTTTGCTCAAGAAGCATGATAAGAAAATTTAATAAAAGTGAGGGAGCGGAAGGGCTAAAGGAAGGATAATCTGATATGCATGACTTGTGGTTTCTCCTAGTGCCTCTCTTTTCTTTGCCCTGGCAGAAATGGCAGTTTGCATCCATAATTTACAGGCTTCTCTTCTCCCGGCAATCTGGCCTTTATGACTCCGCCCCCTTGCAAACTCATTAGCATAATGTAGATGCTACTAAAAAAAAACAAAACAAAACATATTTTCACCTTCGAGCTGTTCCATATCTCATCAGTACACAAGACCAGGCAGAAAGCGGTGAACGTATTACAGGCTCAGGATGAAACACTTTATGCCACATGTGCTGTTTAGACGAATGTCTCTGACTGCCTGCTAAAACTGATTTTTTTTCCAAAGAATCTCACATCTCAGTAACTGTGCCTGCCTTTAATAAATCACGCCAAAAAAAACTGACAATGACATTGTAAGGGGAATAACAAAGCAGCGAGTGATTTGAGAGGCCCCGCTGCTAATTATGACTCATGTTATACAGAGCATTCTGCTGCTGCTCAAAAACACTAAATAAATTCGCTGTTTGACTGTGCTCAAGAAATATGAGCGTCTGACACGATAGTGTGCGTGCTTTCCTGTTTTTAGCACCAATTACGCCACTTGAGTTAATTCGGGAAAGTTGTTTTGAAGATAACACCATGCGAGCGGCACATGTGTGTGCAAATCTGCGATTAGGTGAACAATCATTAGCAGAAATGAGCAGTGAAGGATCATCAGTCAAAGCACTTACCGGAGGATGCAGTAGATTTCTTTGTTCAGTGTTTGGCAAATTCACTCACATATCCCTCATCAATCATAGAAGTGATCTGGAATTTAAAAAAAGAATACATTATATTAATCCTTTGCCAAAGTAAATGGTGTGCACGGTTACATATGTTCTTCTCAGTATTCATAATCCCCAGTTCTGTACCTCCCCTGCTTGATAATGTCACACTGCTAAATAAAGGAAGCACACGGTTAGACTCATTCTGCACATGGGATCATGCACCATTATGATCAGTGGCATTTATCAGCTAGTATAGAAGACAATCTAACCGTTATAGCAATGATGATATAGAACAGCAACTGTAATATTTTTCATAAACCACAACCAAATTTAATTACAAGAAAAAAGCTGTCTTTATCAACATAAAAAAATGATAATCCGACAACTGGCCTGGTCCAACTGATCCACTGATTCAAACAAACTGACCATCCCAAGATATCGAACTAAATGCTTGTGGATTTTAGAATTTAGTTTTGTAATGTGAGATATCAGATTAGTAATTTGCATTTTAAATTTTAAAAGTTTGTCTATTTTAAACTGTTAGTCTATTTAATGCTGATGTAATGCTAATGTATGCACGGGGGGCATGGTTTGAGTAACAACAACAAACATTTATATCCTGTCTAGACCATAACACAGGTTATCTACAACAGAATAAATCACACAATGAGATATAACAACATACAACATCTTGCGAGTTTGAAAGTCATTTTACAACTTTTAATTGACACCATTAAATATTCTGGAAAAAAAACAGAACATGTAATTTGCAGACAAAGCCTGAAAGCTTTTTTAGGACTAATGTAGCACTAAGAAATGCAAAAACTAAATTGTACACTCAACATTCTTAACTCCAGCTCAATTATAACCAATAAGCAAAATCATCCACTGTGATTATTTAATGGACACATCCTTGACTCAAAAAGTCAGGGTTCAAAGAAAATCCAGGATTTCCCACTGGCACTTACGACACATGTGCGCGCTTCTCGTAAAATACGATAATTCTGACATGACTTGAAGGCAGCAATAATCTGTTCATATAAAACTTTCTGTCTTTGTTTATCTTTCTCATCTGCTTCTACAGCTCCACCATCCGTATCCTGTCATGCAACTGTCATTGAGCCTGAATTAATGGACTTATAATCTAAAGGGATCTGTGTCTGATTCTCGGCCCTCCGTATGCGACTGGAGTGCAGGGACTATTAGGTGTGTTTATTGCTTGAATCCCTGCTATCAACCCCTATGGACCCATATAGATGTAATTTGATATGAATATTTCAAGTCAGCTTTTGTAAAAGCAAAACTACTGATATCCTAATGGGATCATGTTTTGACTATTAAATGACTTGTTTATCCTGACTGTATTTCTAATACCCACATACCACTTTTGATTTACCAGAATATTGTAATTGTGTCAGGTCATAGTGTCTACAGATACCAGAATGATGATGATAAAAATAATAATAACTTCCACACAGTATGCTATTAAATTACACTCAAATCTGGTTGGCCGCTGTGACCTACTCATTTATTTTCTTATTTTTGAGTCAAATTAAATTGGACATATCCTTTTAATTAACAAAATGCTCCACAGTACTTGCATGAAGCATTTGAGAACAGACAAAATGTGAAGTGCAAATTAACGTCCTACACAGAGAACATCCACCAGTGTTATTCCGGACACGATGCCCAAGGACTTACTGAAATAAGGTTTAGACACGAGGATGTTATAGGTTATTCCTTAAGGACTGCCACTGCTCCAGATTTCAATGGGCTATTACCGTTTTAATTGGTACAATTAGGTTATCGAAACCCACATCTGATGAAACATCCAGCATCATAATCAAATTTATAAAAATATATTAAAAAAATAATAAAAATAATCTATAAATGTAAAAAAATAAAAACATAATTTTTTAATATAAAATTATTTATATAACATTTATCATAATAATAATAAAATAAATCATTTTTATAAAGAAAATATAAATGCATGTCTTTCTGAAACATTTAAAAAACAATTAGACAAATTAATAATAATAATTAATACAAAAACCCTGCATGAACATGAAACCTTCGTGACAGAGCAACAAGTATCATTTACTTATGAAGAAAATATGACCTTCAGGCTGGATGACTGATCTGGAGTCACTCAGCATGAGAGAAACCCATGAGATGGACTGATACTAACAATAAAGGAAAGACACAGTCGGGATACAGGAGGCCGAGACAGCAAAGGCTTGATTATCCACACTTTCACGGTCACAGAGCACAACTTGAGAGCAGTCTATAGCCGACCTCCTCTGGTTCTTGGACTGCAGTGGCACTCAGATGGGCTGCTGGATTGGGGTGCATTGTCTGTGCTCCACACTCTTTAGCTGAGTCAAGGAGAGACTTAAGGCGGGCGTACACGGTGCGATTTTTGCTGTCGTACAAGCTCGCAGGCGATTTTTTTCTCTCGGGAGAAAATCGCAGATGCTCGCGGCTCGTACCGTGTGAGAAGAATTACGGGCCGATCCGAGACGTTACGAGCACCTCCCGTCCTCCCGATAATTTTCAAACATGTAAAAAAAAATCGGATGCTGTCGGTTTAAATTCGTGGCATATGTGCGGTTGAACGAGACGATTTGGCGATCCATCTGAAGTTGACCAATCAGAAGATGACAAAGACCATATAGTCTATAATAATTTGTCTATAATAATACACTTTGCCATGTCCTTTGTCTTCGTTTTTTTTTTGTTTTTGGACGTCACAAGCCGCCTGCCACAAAAAAAAACTATTTCGTCCTCAGAATCCATATTTTTATGAATGGCGCAAAACGTAATGCTTACGTCAGAGTTTGTAAAATCGTAGTAAATTCGTGTCGTGTGTGACTGCCTCCGTACGATTTTCGGATAAACTCAATCGTGACGTGCCAGAGCTCACGACGGTCCGACCTTCAGAATCGCACCGTGTACGCCCGCCTTTACTGGGGTGTTTAGCTCGCCGGGTTTCTGTGGCAGCTCAACAAGCTCTCCCAGCTGGAGTACGGCTCTCACATCACAGCTGCACACTTACAATTAGTGCAGGTGCAGATGAGGAAAGACCAGGCACAACACAGACAAACACACAAAGAGAAGAAAACACACACTTACAGAGGTGTTGCACATCTCCGATGAGGGCTGTTACATATAAAACAAAGCGCTGATGAGTCGAAAATCAGCTCATTATAAAAACCGACAATGTGTGGGTTTTCTCTGGTTTGGACATTGAAGATGTGCCTGTTTTGCCTAAATGGTAATGACCTTTACATGATAAAAGCTTATTTTATGGCATTCAAATTAACTTACACATCATTAAGAATAATCAGTGTATGATCAAGCATGTAAACACAATTATAATAGATTTTAATATGAATCTTCTTTCATTAGCATGTTCAAATACACTTCTGTTGTTCCTATCTGAACGAAAACTAGCATTCCATTATGAAGCTAAATTGTTCTGGATGAGATAATGCACCAACTGCATCATTTTCCAAATATTTGCAGAGAAAAATAGAAGCCAGGCTTGTGTTTTTCCCCTCAATCTCATATTGATCCAAAGAGCCTTGCTTGCAAAACATTATCACAAAACTGAGCACGGAAACAAATTACATGACAAAAGCAGCCATTGATTTGCGAATCGTTTATTAAGGGGACACTAAAAGTGAAATGAATTCCAGCATTTTAAGCTTTGTTTCTGTGTTCCTGTGTCAGGCACACAGTGAGGCAATGCAGAAAGTTGGAATGCCGAGGCTGTCTTGCATCTGGAGTCGTCTCTGATGCATGCCATAAAATATGCCATTAAGCAGAATGGGCCGGCAAAACACACAACATGCAGATCTGAATAATTAATTTAGGGCTCAACCCACTGGAGGGACATCTTTTTTTCCCGTTTGGTTTTCTACATCAAAATCAGAGCATATATTTGCTCCGACTGAAAAAAGGCACAACATGAG